TTTATTAATGATATCGTGCATTTATCTATTATTCTAGGAAAGTATTTCAATCCTATGAACCAAGTATATCGTATATAATTCCTCACTGTGACAATATCGAGTTAGTTTTGAAGATTTATAAACTCAGTATTATCAGTTTGATTTTCGTTTAAATTAGTATCATCAAAAATGTTTTTATCATCTTTATAATTTACTTCCCATAGCTCAAGATCATCAGTAAGTATAAGATTATTAGTAATTGCATTAATTGCGCTATAAATAAAACTTATTGTTGTATATTTACTATCTCCTAAAAGATCAGTTGCCTCTGCAAATGGTTCAAGAACTGCAACAAGGCTTTTTATAGCTTCCTATTCAGTATCAGTGAGATTGATTTTTTTTAATCTTATACCTTCTTTACATGTTTGATAATCTTCATCACAAGAAAGCATTGTAATTAAAAGATTAATTATGTTTTGAATTTTAATTAGCCATTGCCAAGCAAGATAGGAGGAATTCTATCTTGTTGGTGTATCAGCGATTATACGTAATTCATGATCATTTTGAGAAAGATCCTAATTAAAAAAGATTAATATTAAATTTAATAAAAACTTAATAACTTATAAATAGATATTTATTTCTACTCGAGTTAAAGTTATCTGACATATAATTTATATCATATTATATAATACAACTACCATGCAAACCAAAAATTTTATAGATTGGTTAACTAATAGTTAAAGTAAAGAATTTTAACGATATTATATAAATTTATATTAGACCATGCTAGAGATTGTATCCGAGTAGATATTTTTATTATATGGTTATAATAAATTACCCAAATAACTGAGTAATTTAATAATACCTTTGTAGAGATTTTCTTGACAGGTACAATTACTAGGCCATGCTAATTGGTTTTTATAACTCAGCCAGGTTTATTTAATATTTTATGTTATAAAAACCAAATAATTAAATTTGTATAGCCTTATATATATAGCATAATACAAATTTTATGTCGGATAATGCAAAAATATAATTCTCTAAATATTATACTTACAATATTTTCATTACATTTAAATTTTTTCTGAGCTTCTAAAAGCCATTAGTTTGTTTAGGAAAAGTAAAATATAACATAAGTTTTTTTGCTTGTGTAACTAAATTTTCTACTTCTAAAAGACCTTTTCCTACAACTAACTGAAGAGTGTGAGCTGTGCACAGTATACATATAACATTAGACATTAAATTTAATGCTTTAATCATGTTACTACTATTATCAGTAGTAACTGTAAATACTTTGTTATTAAGATTTCATTTATTAATAATCAAGTATAAAGTTTTAGCAATAATCTCACCAATATATGAATAAGGAAGATATTGAATAGAAAGTATATTTTCTTGTAATTTAAAATCATTATCAATATAGGAACAAGTAATGCCCAGATACCCCAGTCTATTACATCCAGTCCATAAATCACAGGTTAAAGAACACAAAATAATATTTTTTTCAAATATATTTAATAAGGATTGTTTAGTATTTTCATATGCTTCAGAAAGTAATTGTCAACAATATCTTTCACTTGGAAATTTATATGACAGATCAAATTCTGCAATAAATGCTTTAAGACCTTCATCATTTCGAATACTTATTAGTTGCTGATCTTTAATTAAAGTTCAACAAATTTTTGATCTTTACGTTGCTTATGTTCAGGATTGTTATAGACCATTTAGTCAATTTGAAGTTGTGAAGATTGTGGTTTTTTTGTTTTTTCTTTATGAGAATTTTCTGTAATACCATGTCATGTTGCTAAATGCCCAATATAATTTCTTGTTGAACTATCTACTGATCCCATAATATGTCTGCATAATTCACTTTTATGATTGTTATAATTTTCAACTAAACAACTTACAATTGGTTTATAAGATAGTACAGGTTCATAGCACTAATAATATAACCAAATCCAACTTCGTTCTGAATGCTTGGTAATAGGCACTAACTTTATTTTTTTTAGATTTGGTAAATTTGATATATTATTTGGATTGTTTGGTAAGATTGAAGATTCTTCAATAATCAGATTGTTATGCGTATCATTAATCAAATTGTTATGCATATCAGGAACAGTATTATGATCACTATTAGTTAAATTATAATGCTCATCATTGTTATCACTATTAACTGGATTATCATATTTGGTAGAAGTAAACTATTCGGATTGAGATAATTCAGTACTTGATGTGTATATATTAGACATTTTTTGTTTTTTATGTTTTTTATCAAAGCTTGAGGAATAAATAGAAGAATCTTCTTCATTAAAAGAATCATCACTAAACATTTTTTTTATAAAAATACAAAACTTAATTTTGTATTCTTTTGGCAGCA